CATTTATTGTTACTTAATGAAGATTTTGTATATAATTATTAATTTGTCAGTATCCCTGTTGTTGAAAAAATACTTTATTGAGATCTTGTTGATTTTTATCCTTAATATAATTTAAAAATTTAAAAGTTCAGACTAATTAAAATCTACCAGTATTAAGTAAATTCAATGGATAAATTAAAGATATTAATATGAAGATAAATTAAGGAGAGGCTATCAATCAACATATGTTATGTTATTCATATCTTGATATTTAATCTTAAGTTTTTATATGGAGAATTGTAGGTTTAGTTATAATAAAGAAAAAAAAATAGGCTTGCCTTCTCTTGAGTAGTTTAAAATACTTCAATGCTTTATCTCTCATTTAGGAATTTGATAAAACAAAATAAGTTAAATTTTAGTTTTTGTAGAGCCAAGTTCAAAATATGAAGGTCTATCATGATCTTATAAGGGTTGAAGCTTAGAAAAAAATCAAAGTGGAATTATCATAATATATGTGACCATATTCAATTCATTTTATATTTTGATTTTATTTTCATAAAATTGGAAGATTAGTTCAAATTCTAATTTGTTTAAATCTGCTCTCAATCTTTCCTCGTCTTCTGAAATATACATGAAAATCTTATCTTTAAGAAATTAAGCGATTTGATTTCATTTTAGGTGAAGGAACTTTAATAGTTCATTTTATAAATATGTTTTGCAATTTACAGATAAAATGAGAATACCTAGATCAGCTTTAGTATCACAAAACTTAATAAAATTGTCAAATATATATAATATTAAAGAAGACTAACTTATATAACCTTAATTTTATTATAATCGATTTTTACCTTTTCTAAACATCAATCAAATAGTTTTTATTATCATTCAAGAAGATTATTATAATTTTTTAACTGTTGAAATGTGAATTGGAATTAAAATTAACTCTAAAATATTCCATATGAATTTGAAATTTAATTAATTCAATTTACTTAAAGTTGAGATTATAGTATTAGAACACAAGGTAACCCAATTTTAATTGTGTTTCATTTGCACTCGATTATAATTACTACAAAGACGAAAGCATTTAATTGCATGTAAATATGATTATTTTGCAAATATCTATTAAATGCAAAAGTTAATTTTAAAATTAGAATTCTTTTAATGATATTTTTTCTTATTAATTTATTATTTATCCCTTATAATCAAATAAAAAAATAAAAATAACATTTTAGATATACTCTTCTTTTTCCTTCTGTCCATTTTGAAACCATGTTTGGAGATCTGTTTAAACTTGTACTGTAGACATATCTTTTTCTGGATCCATGTTTGTTCTGGTTCCTCCCTTATCCTGAAAAACCAGCCCGATAGGGCTGCCCCTTGTTATCAACAGGTCCCCATTCGGCGGTGCCTAAAGGATGCCTCAGTTGGGAAGGCGGTTGTCATTTTCTCTTGGAAATCAGAGGAGATCAATGTGAAGTTGGGTTTGGTCTCCATCCCCAGTGAGGGAGCCAAATGCTGGTGTCCCTGTTTTGGCCAGGTAACTGCTGGCTCAATGGCGTGTGTCCTGGAGTTCAACTTTCGGGTGCCTGAGCTGAACAATTATGACGTCAGTTTTAGGTCAACGACTTACCATTTCTTCAAATCAACCATATGAATATTTGTGGCTGTTCAGGATTTCAATAAAAAAAAGATGTTGAAAAAAAAAATAAAACTTTTTCGTTTGTAATAATAGCTCGAATACATTTTTCTAAAATTTTTTTAATAATTTATGATATTCTCAGTAAGATTTTCTATCTTTTGAGAGTAATGTTTATTCTCCTTTACTTCTCGAAATAAGATTAAAGTGTATATCAAAAATTATTTATATAACTTTCAAAATTATTTTTGCTCTAGCTTATATTTTTTGGTGGAAATCAATAAGGAAAGGGACTACACGACAAAAATACTTTTTCCCAAAGATTTTGACATTTTTATGATGATAATTTTTTAAAAAGAGAGTGTAACAATCTAAATAGCCAACTCGAGCTTCGTTAAACAACAAAGAAGAAATTTCTTTAATGGAATACAAATCAAATATTCAACATTGCTATCTAATTATTCATTATCCATTTGATTATTTAGTTATATTAAATGAATTTTAATTAGATTGTCAAGATGGAAAGGCAATAATATCTCAGATTGTAGAATAATATAAAAATAGTTTTAAAGAATCTTTAAGTACACAATAAGAGGATAAAATATTTTTTTTAATTATTTAAAGAATTATATTCATAACAATTCTCTCAGCACCTCTGTTTAACAATTCTTAATTGTCTCATCCCATTTACTCCTTTTTTCTAGTAAATTTATGATCTTCTTTTTTTTCTCTCTCATCTCCTCCTGTGACCTTTCCATTTTCTAAAAATAAGCGATCTTATCATTAATTGCTTCATTTCTCTGTTTCTATGCAGAAAATCTATTTCAGGAGTAGACATTTTCATCATACTACCTTTGTTACGAGAATATCATAACATTCCTGAACTCTATCTTTTTCTTTGCATTATATTTTGATGATTTAATTTTAGTAATTTCACATGAAAAACAAATATTATATAAATATCAGAAGTCTTTTAACAGATGGCAATAATTTTTATACTTAATTAATTTTTAAAATAGTCTTTCAATACATATATTCATTCTTAGTGCCTAAAGATCCTCTCACAATCCTATTAGCTAGATTGTTATGGGTATATTTCCTATGAAATAATAAATTGAGCATATTGAAATGGCAAAATTTTTTTTTAAGTTAAAGTTATTAAATTTATTACTTAATAAGATTAAGAAATAGTGTATATTTTAAATTAATCAAGTTCTTTCACATCCTTGATATTTAAATAGTCCGATTGATCAAACGCATTTCAGTAGAAATAAATGGCAAATATTCTGGTAATGAAATAAATATTTACAAAAATGATGATATAATTGTGGAAGCTGTGCCTCGTATAAAATAAATTTGTACACTAATTCCTTTTTTCAAAATTAAAATCCTGTCTATTTAGAATCTTTATAAAGTAATTATATTAATAGGCTTCATATTTATTTGTGAAATAATTTTATTAAATTATATAAACGTGATTTATTTTATAGTTTCCAATAATTTATATCGTTTTGCAAAGTCAAATTTTATGCAAATAATATATTAGGTTTCTTTGAAAATGCAAATGTTGTTTCTTGATCATAATTTTTTAATGTATAATAGCAAATTTAGGGCAGCAATTTACAGGAATAAGCTTATGAATTAAAAATCGATGAACTGGAAATTAAAGCAATATATATTTATTGAAGGCTTGTATAATAGTTATAATTTAAATTAAAATAAATTTTTTTTCTCCGATGAGTGGATTAGAACATGGATTCCTTACACCATAATGCCCTACAAATAAGTTCACTCTTCGAGTATAAGAACCATCAGATGTCTGTAGTGAATTCAGTTCCAAAAATTACATGAAAAGTTTATTGCAGAAATCCCTTGTCGAATTTATTGTGGTCTGACGAAAGAAGGGTTTACAGACTTCATAAAACCTTTGGTCAAGTTTAATATTTTTATTCAAACATCCCTATTGAATTTTAATTAAAATGTTGATCAATAGATGTTTTAATAATAGAATTTGTAGTTTATATGAATGATGTAATTTTGAAATCTTAAATTAGATCATTCTTAAATGTATAAGGATTTAGGCAGATGAAGTCCAAATTATAATAGAAATTTTGGGTTGAATATTTGATGAGTATTTTTCAGACTATTGACTTTCTTATTTTTTATGAGAAACTTATTTTATCGAACTTTAATTGGTCAGAGTAAGACTGAGAGATTTACTAAAAATTAAATCACCTTTAAGAAAATTTAATTGATCAAATTAGTTAAATCTAAAATAAAGCTACAATTATAAGCAAGAACCACCAAAAAGTTGGGAATGTGAAGAAATAATTTAAATATAATTAGTAAAATATAAACAATTTTTGAATCTTGAGAGCTGAAATAATTGAGAATGAAAATAATAAACTTACCTTTGAAAATTTCAGAAATAAAGTACGTTCAGGATTATGAGTGCTAATTAGAAATAAAAAAAGAAATAAGCTTAGGCTAAATGCGTCATTATATGAAAAATTAATTGATTTAGAATACTATAGGAACTATTATATATGCTCTCAATTTGAATTCTAAAATTATAGTCTCAAAACAAAACCAAGCTATCAATAAAATCAAAGAAAAATAATCTTTTAAATATTAATGAACTAATCTTAAAAAATTTGTCAAACTTAGTCAAAATCTTGATCAAAAAAATGAAATGAATTATAATTATGTTATTATTCTATTTATTTGAATATTTATTATTATATTCTAATCAAATTCAATAATACTTTTATATCTATTTAATAATTGAACTAATTTTCAAATGCTTTATTAAATAAATGTGATGTTTTAAAAATTACTTATTTAAAACGAACAATTTTGTAGATTTTTTTCTCCTTCAATTGATTCTTTAATTCTATAATTAAATTTCTACTATTTATAATTTTCTAATGATTCTAAATTATACAATGCCTTATAATATTATTTCAATTAACCTTAATATATCTAATAATATCTGGACTAGATTCTCATAATTAATTATTTGTTAATTTATTTAACTCTTTATTATTAGTCGAATTATATGAACATGAACATTTCTTACTCCTTTTCTGTATCTTTGGTATTCAATTTCTTTGACTTTAGTTAATTTACTTTTTTTAAAAAACATTGTTGTGAAATAATTAAATGTATTCAAGTGCGCATTTTTTGATAAATTTTATTAATCTTAAAATTTATTTATAAGAGAAAAGCAAAATTATTCTTTAATCTGTATTTTTTAAAATAAACAAATTAGAATTTTGTTTTAATTATGATTATTTGATCTATAAATTTAATGAAATTTGAACAATGAATTTAAGTATCAATATTAAAGACTGGATAAATAAAGTAGAATTAATAATTAGTCAATAATCTGATAAAATTTTTTATAAATTAAAATCATATAAATAAACAAATATGATTTGTTTTTAAACAATATAATTTGAATAATTATGATTTATTTTTTGAATATTCAATCAATCAATATTTGATATGTCTGATATTTCAGTCCAACCTTATCCCAAGTTACTAAATATTTCCCGTCATTACTTAAGGCTCCATAAATATAATTTGATTCATATTTTATCTATGTAATTATTTTTAATTAGCCTTCATTTGTTATTTTTATCAAATAAACATGTTATTTGTGCCTAACTATCATCAAATTCTTTTCTTTATTATAAAAAATAGGAAATAAAGCCATATCACAAACATCATCATTTTTAATTAGTTTTACTTCCTTATCCAAGTTTTCTTGATATTTTCCATTTCTTAGTTCAAATATGCTGATACAATCCTTGCTTACTTTATTCCCTGTCACCCAAATTAATTAATCATCATTTATAAAATACAATCTGGCTCCAGATTCTTAAACTGTCTAAGTAACTACATACTCAAATTACCATTTTTATTTATTATCTTATTTCCAAATAATTATTTAAAAATTATTACCACAAGAAACCAATGTATTTTCTAATTAATTAAAGCATAAGCTCCAAACATTATTTGTATGCTTATCTAATGAGTAAAGATAAGTTAATTGATTGTTAATGAAATCAATTTACCAAA